CCAAAGAAGAAAATGAACATAATTAAAAATTAATTTCAGTATAATGATTTAAGTATTCTAGCAAAACAGCACCAGGCTGTTCTATGTTTGGCAATGCAGGGAAGACCTTTTGGGTTCCCTGCCTTGGGAACTGTTGTCAGTTTTAATAAGTTTTCTCCTGCAGCTGTGAGCAATGCTAATTGAACAGTACAGTAAAGCCTGCCTGCTCCTCACTGGGCGGAAGCACATTTGCTGTAGGACCTTCTGTCACCCTGTGCTGCAGCTGAGGAGGAGAGGGATGTGAGATGCTGGTGGATCACTCACCTCATCACATCGCCGCTGAGAGGCAACAGCATTTCTGCCCAACTGCAAAGGAGATGCTTCAGAAAGACATTCAGGATGGCCAAGTCTCAGAGGTGAATCCAGCAGTCTCCACCAAGCCACAGGCCATAAGGCCACCAGCATTGCTCTTTAGCCTTTTGCTACAGCAGCCATTGCTAAACTTTTTGAAACACAACAAAATGCTCATTCCTCCTCAAGACATTCATGAAACAGCGATGTAAAAAGGCACATGCCGGTGTCTTCGGCATCTCGAGTGTTGGCAATGCTAGCTGTGGGCATACGACACAGCTCCCGGTCCTTTTTTCACTGGCTTTGCCAAATCCTAATCATCGTATTTGCTTTTGCTCCTTCCTCGCAGATGCTGCCCCTTCCTTGAAGATTATGGGTCTCTTCCAAGACATCAGCTGCTTGCCAGTCTCATATGTCCTGTTCCTTCTCAGTTCACCTAGCATCTGGCTTTCCTACAGAGTGGTTTTCAGCATATTCTCTGTCTTCCTCAATGAAAGGCAAGCTAGCCTTTCTCCTGAGAAAGAAGGGAGCAACAAGCATTAAGTGTTTTTTTTTAAAGTCACTTTAATTCCATGGTTTGCAAAGTATGCCCAGTACCTCAGAAAGGCAGTCAACTCTAGAGTGGAAGGCATCAGATACACAGGATTGTAATGGGTCGAGAAATTCTGGCCAAGATCCTTGTAAGAACTCCTGTCTCCTGTGAAACTCTTCATTGGGCCATCGCATCTAAGCATCAGAAGCAGGATTGATGTCTAAGATCTTTTCTTGACCAACAAGCTGCAGCTCAAGCCTCTCTGGAATTACGAAGCGGTGAGATGTGTCCTTGTTTTGTGGTGCCACAGGCACGGACCAGTTTCGTTTCCCAGTTCACCAGCCATCTCCTTGGACTTGAAAAGCCTTCGCAGTGGCAGGGGAAGAAAAACAGAAAAATAGCTAATGCCAAGCTGCTTAATGGACTCAGATGCCTCCAGCTGACATTTCTTTGTATACTGCCCTGCCTCTTCTACATAGCAAATCTGGGAGCTGAAAAAGGCACATCAGAAGTGTGACGAAGACATCACATTCCATCATACTTTCAAACTTTGTTCCTTAATCGCTTAATGAAATTCAGAAAGATGTAGCAATAACCGGACAGGTCATTTGCATCAACCTGTGTGGCAGATCTTGCCTTCCCCAGCCCAATATGTAGAAAATGCATGCTCTGACAGAGGTCACTCACCCTGGCAACACCAACCAGGAATTCATGTCAGGAATAACAGGAAGTTTTGCTGCATGACGATGTTAATTGTTATTGTGTCAGCACTGGTTTTACTAATTTACAGCCAACTTCTCAAAGGGATTTAACTTCATTCTTTTTTTGTTTGAACAGTGCCATCATGCTTACAGAGCATGTGTAAGGAAGAGTGCTGGCATATGTTTGCACATCTTTAATAAGTTGAACAAGTAAGGGCTTCATTACCAGAAAAGAGATGAAGGTCCTGGTGAATTATGTAGATCATCCAAGACTACCACAAATAAAATCATTAAACTGGCCTGCACCATCATCTGTTTTGCGTACATCTCATATCACAGAGGCAGGCTCTCTGAAATTACTGAGAGGAAGGTTTAAACATTTTATTGATACTACTTTTTTGAAACAGCCCTTTGCCTGCCAAGTCAGGTCATGAATCAAAAAATCAACAGGGCTCAGGAAAAAAAAAAAAAAAGCTATCCAGTGTTTAAAAGCACTTCTGAAACTTACCTAGAACTGAAAGCCCTAATAGGTTTAGAAATAAATTGAATACTCCACTGGAACATTTTCAGTCTTGAACAGCTCCTGCAATCCTTCACAGCCACAGCACAACAGATCTAAAAACTGGCAAATGAGGTTTGATGCAATTTGTCCTGGACACTGGGTCAGAAGAAGGGGACAGATGGAGAGGGTGCACGAATGGGGGAGGAGGTAACGTACCTGAAAGAAAGGAGAAAACAGTTTTGTGACGGACCAACTTGATTTTTTTTTCTCCCTCAATGCATTTTAAAGCTTATCTTTGAAACTTATGAAGGGAGTGCAATATTAAAATAGCTGTGAAAGTAGGTTATTGAGCTGAATGCTGATGAAGTGGTCAGAAAGGCGAGCACTTCCCATTTAACAAGGGGCCCTGCCACTCCTTCTCGCCACTAACAAGAACACCAAGGAGTTTTCTTAATTTAGGGGAAGGTTACACTAGAAGTTACTGAAAGTACCCCAGAATCTAATGTTTTTGTGCTGCCTCATCTTGCCCCTGCTCCTTTGGGGATGGAAGGCAGTCAAGGATATTTCTGAAGAGTTTTCTGTGCTAAGTTACCTTAACTTAGCACAGAAAACTTCTCACTTCTTATTCATTTCAATTTTTGCTTCTTCAGGAAAGGTGGAGAAGAAAATATATTTTTCTTTACACGTTAGGAAAATACTACTTTGAAAGAAATTAGATCTCTCCTTGGAAGAAGAAAACAAAAATTTTCTAGATTATCATGAAGAAGTTTACTTTTACAATGTGAGCTAGGAAGATTTAAAATGTTAACAGGATGACTGAAAACCTGTGTAAAGTGTAACACATCATTGTGGTTTCAGAGATGGGTAACTACAGTGGGAAAAATAAATGAAAACAATCCAACTCACTTGCGGCAGCTCATTACTGTGTTTGTTAAAGCCACTGAGCAGACAAGGCTTGTAGTTGATCAAATGAGATTTTTGCCCTATTAAAATGTGTGCAGTACACACACAAACACTATGTAGGGAACTGTAACAAAATCATTGATTGTTATGGCTGGAGAGTGAATAGGAATACAAAGATTTGAGGAGAAGGTTGAGAAGGAAAAGTGGAAGGGTCATGAAGGAGGACGCTTGCTGAAGGCACATAGATTAGCAAGCCATGAAGAACCCAGTCTATCTGCATGTTGCTTTCAGGACACCCAGGCTGGGACAAAGATGATGGATAAATCCTAATGACTCCTAGAAGCCAGAAGGATGGAGAGACCCATCATAGCTAGTTCCCTACCCATCCACCTCCAAAATCAGCCACAGGGCTATGAACAGGAACAACTCAAGCAGGTTAAGGAGGACACAAAAACTGGTTAGCATCCCTTCTCTGTGAAGGGATAAAAAAAAAAGGATAAAAAGGGATAAAAAGAAGTCATAAAATTTATGCAGTTTCTGTGATTGAATTAATCACCTCTAATCTCAACTTCAAGACAACACTCAAGCAGTCCTTGCATTTTTTTTTCTTGATGTAGTACAATAGATTGGGTAAGACTAAAGGTAGAAGTGATCAACACCATTTTATCTG